TACATAAAAATAACATACCTGCAAAACTATGAAAGTCAACCTATAACATAAAACAATAAGCCTAATGTACAAAACCACTAAAGGGACTGAGAAGATAAAAGACCCTTAAATATCGAACATACAAGTCCACCCAAAGAATCTATAAGGCAAAGGACAAGAAAGTAAAACCTACCCTGAAGAACATAAGAATAAAAAGGCACCCAGATAACATTAACAAATTTTGACTCAAATCTAGCTTAATTAGATGTGACTAGTAGTAAGGAAAAAGGAACTTACAAAGTAAATAACGTAAACAGTGACTAGAAATAGAAATAATGAACCAACACACCCACAAATTTGCCGAAGTTATAATTACCCAAACAGTAAAGATTGCGTGAAACGAGTACATATACCAAAAATTAAACAAAAACAAAGCAATAATCAAACTATAAATGCAAGTTTAAATTAAAGTAACTGAGATGGTAAAAGAAGCATGAAAATCTAACTTATCAAATACTGAGCAGAAAAGACAAGAAAGACTTAAATTTCAAATGCAGGAATTAGGTCCTACTACATAAGCTAACTAAACATGGGTATACCTACAGGGAGTGAGGAATACATACTGAAAAACTTACCACAGATCTCCTGGAAAAAAGAACAATACCTAACCAAGCAGATTACATCAAGGCATGGTAACAGGTGGAAAGTGCCATAGAATGAAATTTCCACATGTTGGTTATATCCTACTTCACAAAAAATCATAATGTGAAAGAAAGAAATCATCAGCTGAATGTAATACACAAACTAAGCCTGCGTTTCCCCAGTAGACATTGTTGATCCTGAGATCTGAGGACAGAACCAGTGTCTCTTATTGAGTGAAGTTCATTATCCGCCATATTAAATCTCTAATTCATGTAAACAAATTAGAACTTGAAAAGGTTTTTCATTGTACAAAACTTGAAGATAGTTTTGATATATGGAAACATCTGTTAGCTGAGTTCTTGCACAGATCTTAAAATATAACGTTCATAAATGGAAACATCGGCTCACGTAGATACGTACCGGCCAATGTTAATCTGACTCATTTTATAAGCTGTACTATTTCCTATAGATCATTTTCCAGACGATTCTGCTATGATTAGTGTCTGGTGAAAAGCTTCAGCAGATCTTTCTTTTGCAACATCTCAACCAACAATTGGTCCAGTTATCAATGCTATTTTCAAGTTTTGAATAACTTGACTCTCAAGATCTTCGTAGCTTCATGAGCCGATGTTTCCATTTATAAACGTTATATTTTAAGATTAAGATCTGTGCAAGAACTCAGTTAACAGATGTTTCCATATATCAAACTATCTTCAAATTAGAATTTGGAAAACAGAAATATTTCGAAAACAAAAGATTAGAAACAATGGAAATCAAACACAAGAAGTTGAAACTGATATAAGTTTGTGATCAACCACAAGTATAATAGTGCATTCACATGGAGAACAAGTTAAAATACACATCTATACACTAGAATGCCAATCAAGAAAGTGAGGATTTTGCTATAACAGTAGAGAGAGCTACCTGTGCTAATACAGATGGCGCAGTATGATTGGTGGAGGGTAATCACATGATTAGCACGTTATGAAATGGTGTGAAAATAAAGGGGTATAAAAGACTGGTGTGCTGTTAGTGATAAAATTTTAGCACTGCTTAGAGGGCAAACTAAGGTCAAGATAGCTTTGGGTGAGGGAAGGTAGTACTTTTTTAGAATTTTAGTAAATTCAATTCTTTATAAACTATACTAATGATATAAAAATCACTAGTAATGAAGCTACACCTAAAGACCTAGCCACATGGATGAACCATCAAAACCAAGTTAGAGTTTTCAATGAAGCTATTGAGTGAGAGAGAAAAAAACACACAAGCTTATTAGATACAAACATATTTGTGACAATCATAATTAATGTGGCAACCTTCACTACCTATACTGAATTGACAATACAGGAATAATCATAAAAACAAATAATGTTTACGTCCAATATGGCACAAATTGTTGCCATGTTTACTTTGGTCATGTGACTACATAATCTCTATAAAGCAGAAACAAACACAATTTAATTATTTAATGTTTTACATTTTGTAGAAGCATCTGCATGAAAATGGATTCCAAAATATTTTCAAAAACACATAAACATGAGTAGATGATGTGTAGAAACTGTTTTATAACAAAATTACTTTGATCATCTAACTTGTACTACTTTTGCCATGTAAAGCTCCATGCTTACGTGCTCTCACACAGATCAAAATGTTATCAAACAGCCAAGCAAAGATAAATAAATAGAAATATATCCATTTAAATTACACAGAAAAAGCTGAAAATTATGCCTATCATACTCTCACCCCCCAAACACACACACACTAATGTTATACAGTAAAACAGCTGTTATTAAATATTAGAAAGAACTAGGTTTTCTAACTGATTGTACGTAGTAAAACTTTTGTATATTTTATTCACGTTTCATCAGGTTTACCGGGCAACATCAGAACTGTTTTTATGTAAAACAATCTAAAGCTTGAGAAGTTATAATGCTAAGCATCGGGGGTTGAGGTGGGCACAGTGCAGATAGCCCAATGTGTAGCTTTGCACTTAAAAACAATCACAAGTATGTCAATCTTGCAACAGACAGATATAACAATAATCTAAAGCTTAAGTAGTCACTTACATTTTGTCTAAATCCCAATTTCTTGCGCACAGTAAAATCAAGGTTGAGAAAAACATCTTTCACCAATTTCCACCTGCCCATCCCACAAACAGACACGAATCTACATCACTTCCGGTAAACTTCAGAATTTAGCTTATAATTCAGTCTACATACTGGAACCTATTTCCTTGTAAAAACACCTTTGTACCATTATTCTTCCATATGTATATCTTTGTTTTTAGAAAGATTTACTTTTATACTCATCACTAATTGTGTGTTGGAAAACTTAACATAAATAAAACCATTTTCTATTTGACTTAAAACGTAATTCAGACTATATAGCCTATAATCTATATATGCACAGCCGATTCGATTTGAGATTTGATTTGATTAAAAAAAAATTTTGTGCTTCACTGGGTCCACTTTCCAATCCAGGTATCACACTGGTAGCCCTCCTCTGAACCATTTTCATCAACTCAATATCCTTGTAGCCCTCCTCTGAACCATTTTCATCAACTCAATATCCTTCTGTTACGAAAGCGGAAGTCGCGTGACGCTAGTAACACGTCATGATATTCTCGAAGGTTCGTGAATGCTCAAGTGTTTACTAGATGTGCAGTATTCTTGTATATAATTGCGCCAAACAATGGAATTGGATGGCAGACAGAGATAGAGACGGACAATTGAGTCAAGCGCGGTAGTAGGCGTGAATCGTTCGTTTTGAATTATAGCATTTGTTAAGTTATTAAAGTGACTGTGGAAATTAAGTGTATTACAAAGTTGCATTGAGAAAGAATAAACTAGTTTTATTTAAGAAAGGACTTGTATCGCTGAAGTTCTTGGGAAAGAATTTCTACGGAAAATTAACAAACGAACAGAGACGTAACATTTCCAAAGGTAAAAAGCCCAAGATTGAACACAATAGTCCAAACATGGCCTAAACAGACCTACACAATGAAATTATAACCCCTTTAAGACTTCTATTCAATATTTCTATAGATAAAACCTAAAATCCTATTTTCTCTACCACTAGCAACAGCACACTGTTTAAGAGACTGATCAACCACTACACCAAGATCCCTTTCCTTCATAACACTGTTAAGGTTATTCCCATCCAAATTATACT